CCTGGACGAGCGGCGGGGGCTGAGGAGGGGGAAGCCGGCTGCGGCTGGACTGTGACACCAACCCTCTGGGGGACAAGCTGAGCTGACCTCCAGGCCTTGCTCTGCCCCGAGGCCTGTGCCTGGAGCCGCAGACAGAGCTAATTCCTTCTGAACACTTCACTCCGCAGGTGTTAATGCCCCTCTCTTCTTGCTACCATCTTGATGTTACACTTACTAAACTACCTTTTTTCCTGCCCTCCAGCTGCAGCAGCTCTGATTTCACAGCCCCGTGGACTGGTTTTAACTCTAGCTAGAAGCATCGCCCCCGGCAAACCTTAATGCGGGGGTGGAAATAACTTTCTATGAAGCATGGGGTGCCCTGCCCAGACGCTCACGAAGGCCCGGCTTGCTCTACACATCCGGAAAAGCCACATCGATTGAATTCAAATGACTGCAGGACCAACGAAACAGCAACTCTGCCTTATTTTTTCCCTGGTTGGGTGAGTTGTACATGTATAAACAAAACAGATATATATATATATAGGACAAAGCAAATTAACTTATGTTCCAATAGCTAGCCTTGTTTTTGCTTCCATCTTACACTGAAGAAGATGGTGATTGAGTCTGGAGGAGAAAAGACCGAGGGGAATTTGATCACGGGCTTGAAGTCCATGCAGGGCAATGGCAGAGGGGATGCAGATGGGCTTTTCTCTGTGGCCGCAGGGGACAGGACTCGGAGCAATGGCCTTGAGCTGCAGCAAGGGAAACTGAGGCTGGAGGTGAGGAGGAACTCCCTGACTGCGGGCAGTCCCGCTCTGGAGCAGGCTGTCTGGGGAGGTAGTGGGAGCTCCCTCCCTGAATGTTTTCCAGAGCAGGTTGTCATGAGGCTGGGCTGGTTTGGACAGGGTTGATCCTGCCAGGAGCAGGGGCCTGGGAGAGACATGCCCTCCAGCCCCACTCTCCTGTGACCCAACATGCACCAACAGCAGCAACACACAGGGTTGCAGTGCTTTGTCCCTGGCCGGGGCTGGGCTGTTGCCCCGAAGCTCTGCCCCGTCTCGCCCTCCCCACACCTCGGCTGCAGCCACTGGACCTGGCGCCGGAGCAGTTTCTAGTCCACTACTCGATGCCATCCCGTGCCAGGCTGCCAGGACTGCAACCCCCGGACCCTCCCTGATCTCACCCGAGTTCAAGTCCATGGCCCTGGAGCACCGGTGCCCAGGCTGCTGCTGGCAACGTCTTCCCTGGAGCCTTTGCAGCGCCACGGCCAACGGCACTGCCCCACACCTGCTGGACGCGTCACAGGGACAGCTGGCACCATCCTGTGACCCTTGCTCCTTCGCTTCCTCCAATGGCTCCAGCCCACGTGGGCCTGGCTCCTGGCCTGAGCTGCGCTGCTGGTCCCCCAGCACCTGGCTTTGCTCCCAGGACTGCCCAGGCCCCCCTTGCGCATCAACCTGGGCCTCCTCCGCATCGACAACACTCCCTGGCTCAGCATCATCCTGCGAGCACCACCCTGGGGCCCAGCGATGCCCTCCCTGCCAGCGTGAGATGGGGGAGTGCACTAGGCAGCACGGGGAGCTCTGGGGGCTGAGGACAGACACTCCAGGGCCAGCAAAACACCCAGCACCATGAGCTAAATCCTGCCCAGCCCTCCCAATGAGGCCCGAGGGCTGCCTGTGGCCCAGCTCCAACCCTCCCAACCAAGCTCTGGGCCAAGCAAGTCCTGGTCCAGCCCTTGCACAAAGTCCAGGGCCCCGGAGCCCCTCCCTGGCTGACCGGGCCGGGCCCTGGTCAGCCTCCAGCCCCCATGGCCAGGATGCCTCTTGGCTGAGCTGCAAAGGCTGAGGGGTGCCGGGGAACCCCTCTGCCATGGGGCCGCCAGCTCCCATCCCTGCAAAGCGGCTCAGCCCTGCCTGGGGAGCCAGGGGACTGGGACTCCAAGCCTGGGTGCCCAGAGGGCTGGGACCAGTCATGCACAGAAGAGCAGCCCTGTGCTGGGAGGCAGGATGAGGCCACAGGGCCCCGCAGCCCCCATCTGCAGCCAGCGACACCCTGGGGCCCAGCCTGGCCCTGTGCTGGATGCGGCCCCTCCCCTCCAGCAGAACAGGTAGGAGATCACTGGTGGGGTGGTGGCCCCCACATTGGCCCCCCAGGTGTAGCGCCATGCACAGCCCAGGCCCACCCTCCCGGCCCCTGGACTCCCAGCTGGCTGGGTCCGGGGCGGGTGGCACAGGCTCCCAGGCCACAGCTGCCCCCAACCAGTGCCCGAGGGCAGCACCGCAGGAGCCCGGGGTCCCGCCAGCAGCAGCGAGAGGCTGGCAGCCCCAGCACGGGGGGACTAGTCCTCTGCCGAGCAGAGACCCCAGCCTGCCACGAACCCAGCTCAGAGCTGCTGCCCCGTGGGCTCCTGCAGGGCAGCTGGAGGGCGGGGGCTGTGCGGCGCACCCCGTGGCAGCCCCTGGAACTGCACCTGCCCACGGCTGACTGCAGAGCACGGGGCTCATGGGGGCAGCTGGGTCCATGGGGGGCAACATGCACCGCACGGCTTTGCTTCCAGCCTGGCGCAGGGGACCCTGGGACACCCCGTGAGGAAGGGGCTGCAGCCCCTGGGCAGCTGTGACAGGCCAGCAGGGCACCGTGCCCAGCTCAGGCAGGGCCCGGCCGGGAGTGCGGTGCCCCGAGGGCTGTGCCTTGGCCCCTGGGGCACAGGCAGACCCAAGTCCTTCTCTGCTGCCCTGGCCCAGGGGAAGCCTCAGCCACCCCTGCCAGGGGGTGCAGGTCCCAGGGCCACAGCAGAGCCAGCTTGGCTCACCGGGGCCCCTGGACGTCCAGCCCCACGGGCCTTGTTTTGCCTCTGCTGCTCCCCTGGGTAGGACGTGACCCTGCCCCAGGCCACGAGCCCAGCTCCACAGAGCCAGGGCTGAGCAGCAGGAAGGAGGGAGGCAGCGGGCAGGGGTGGGCACGGAGGTTTATTAGCCATGTGGCGCTGCTGGAAGAGGACACCCGGGAAGCATCCGATAAAACAAACTCCTTGAAAACCAGAAGTCGGCCTGACGGGGCTTTTTTCCCTGTTTTTTTTTTTTTGCATTTCTTTAGAAAACCAGGGGCCGCGGGGTGGGGCCGGGAGCCGGGGCTACGTGCGCAGGCTGCGCTGCGCCTGCTTCAGCAGGGTGTCGAAGTCGAGAGAGTCGAACTTGCTGCGGGTGGGAGCCGGGTCGAAGTCCTCCCGGTTCGAGTCTGGAAGCAGACGGTGCTGCCGTGAGCTGGTGGGGAGGGGAAGGGCCACGCTCTGGGGGGCACAGGGAATGGGGGCCGAACCCTCCTGCCCCGGGAGCAGCCACGAGCCAGCAAAGCAACCCAGAAGTCCTGGCTCCCGGCCCTGTGCCCAGGCAGAGCAACGCTGCTGCTGCACCGGGAGCGTGGGGTGGGGGTGCACGCATCAGCCGCACACCCGGCTGCAGAGAGGCAGGTGGGGGGAATCACGGGGGGGGGGCAGATTGTGGCCACATCCATGGTCTGCCCAGGGCCGAGGGGGCTGTGCCCAGGGCCAGGGGCGGAAGCGGGGGCTCACCCAGGTCGGCATAGTTGCGGCGGCAGAACTGGCGTCGCCCGCCAAAGCAGAGGTCGAAGGGCTGCTCATCCGGGCGCCGTAGCGTGTGGCCGCGCTCGATGGCAGCAAAGGCCTCCTCGGCATAGCGGTACGTCACGAAGCCGTAGTTGTCACTGCCGGGGGATGAGGGCGTCACGCCTGAGCCCTGACCGCCCCGTACCCGGCTCTTGCCTCCTCCCCACGTGCGCCTACAACAGAGCCAAGCCCCCGCCATTCGCTCACCCCTCGGAGCGGAAGTGGAGGGTGCACTCCTCGATGTCCCCGAACACGGAGAAGCGGTGCCGCAGCTCCGAGCACGTCATCCTGCCGGGGATCTTCCCAATGAAGACGACCCGCCTCTCCTCCTGCGCGAGGGGACATGACACTCGGGGCCGTCAGCTACTGCTAGCTGCCCCTGCCCTTTCCAGGACAGGCTGAACAGCCCTCAAAGCCCCTCCATGCACCCGTTGCCACCCCAACCCTGTCTGAGCTGCTTCTGCCTGGGCTTCGGCATCAAGGCAAAGCCCAGCCCCAGCACCGCCTCCTGATCCAGGTGAGGGGGCATCAGTGCTGCATCCCAGGCCTGGGCTGTGCCCATGCTCCTGCTGGCACCAACCCCGCTGGGTCCTGGCTGGAGGGTCTTGCTCCCGCGCTCAGGCTCAGCCCCACGCTGCACTGGGGCAAGAAGGGATTTCCACCTGGTCAGACTGGTCCAGACTGGGGGGTTTTGCCTTCCCCTGCAGTGGGGACACGGCCCGGGCCTGGGCTCTACAGTGCCCATGACACCCCTGGCAGCAACAGGACATTGGCGGCTGCAACCCCCCTGCTTTCCCGGGAGCAGGGGCGATGCTTGGGGCTGTGTCGAGAGCAACTGTGTCGTGTGACTCTGAGGTCAGACATGGGCTTTGGGCTGGTTTGGACGGGGCTGGATGATCCCTGCCAGCCCCACAATGCTGAGATCCTACAAATGGTGCCTGAAACTTGCATCCAGCCATGACGGCACAGTAGGCGCTGGCCGTGCCAGGCCATAGGAACAGCTATGGCAGCGTCCCGCAATGCCGCAGGGCCAAACCCGTGCCCTCTCTGGGGCAGGCCCAGCCCCAGGGCTGCCCCCCGCCGGGCACAGGCCCTGACACTCACTATTGCACGTTCCTTCTGCAGGAGTCTCTGCCTTTGGTAGTGGTCCTGAGAGTCGTAGCTGTACCTGCGGGCAGAGACGGAAGCTCATGAGCGGGGAGGCTGGGTGCTGCCCAGGGCAGCACAGACCAGCCCAGAATCCACAGCAAGGGCCCGGGAGGACCAGGCCACCCCCGGGCCTAGCAAACAAGGGAAGAACCCTGCCCAGCCCCAGAAGACCAGCCAGGAAACGGGGCAAAATAGCTGCTCAGAGCGAGCCCACAGGGCAGACGCCAGAGACCCCAGACAGGCGTCAGAGCAGCCGCAGGTCCCGGCTGGGGCAGTGGAGACCGGGGCCCTGGGTCTGGTGCGTTCTTACCGCCTCCTCCGGCTGTGCCTCCTGCAGGGCGACAGGGAGCGGGACCGGGACCGGCTGCGGGACGTGGACCGGGAGTGGGACCGGGACGAGTAGGATGAGGACGAGCTGCTGCGGGAGCTGCCGCAGGACCCGGCGCTGGAGGGCGAGGAGGAGCGGGAGCGGGAGGAGCGCCGCGGCCGGTACCTGGGGCGAGTACGGGGCACACTGAGTCGTGCACATCTCCCTGCCCTGGTGCTGCCCCCCACCACCCCGCGCCAGCCCCCCTGCACGGCCCAGTGCCGCCGTGAGTGCAGCAGCACCAGCCTTGGTCTGCAGAAAGTTCAAAGCAGCAGCACGTTTTAAGAGGCGGTTCACTCTGAAACCTAACGATGGCGCGCACTGGCTATTACTTGCTGCCAAATCAGTGCCACTGGACAGCGTTGCTGCCAGCACGCAGCTGGGGTGCATCCCACGGTCCCAGGCTCTGGCCCACTGGAGTCCTGCCTACAGTACAACCCCTGAGGACACTGCCCTTACCCCCTGCAGACATGCCCCTGCTCTCCACCTGCCCCAGGGCAGGAACGGGGGGACCTACCCAGGGTAGCTTTGCAAGATGCCAGTGGGCAAGCTAACCCTGTCTCTGCCAATCAGGTGGCCCACAGCCTGCCCCACTGGCATATGCTGGGGGAGGGCAACCATCCGCTTGATGCCCCTACAATGCACAGGAAAATCCCTGTATGGAAGGAGCCAGCCACAAAGCGCCAGCTGCCCCCAAGCACTGCTCTGGCGCTGCTGGCCATGGGGCTCATCAGGGTCGGGGTCACGCTGAACTGGGCAGGGGCCAGGGCCGTGTCCCCTCTGCCCAGGCCAAGCTCAGCCACAGCCACAGCCGGCAGCCCCTCCCCCTGCTGGGCCATGATCCTCCAGGGACCACCAGCTTGCAGCGTGCACCTAGCAGGAGCAGCCCAACCCAGGACTGCGGCCCATGCAGGGGGAAGCGGCAGCGGGGCCACGCCTGCCTACACCAGGGTGGTGAGAGCAGGCCCCCAGCCAGGGGCCTGGATGCACCATGGACACGGGCGAGGGAGTTGCCTGGGAGACGCCAGGCAGCAAAGCCAGGGCACAAGCACCCCGTGCACCAGGGAAGACCAATGCCCCAGGGCAAGGGGCAGCCAGGCCTGGAGTGCAGCAGGGGTGGAAGATGAGCTGGGGCAAAGGGTCCCCCTGGTGCCAGGCTCCCTACAGCCTCCTCCCACCCCACAGGAGACTGGGGCACCCAGAGCCCTGCAGAAGGGAGACGGGCAGAGGGACCGAATGCAGGCGGCCCTGGAGCCCCAGCAGGGCAGCCCAGCCAGGTACCAGCAGGCTGGGATCAGGCAGAAGCAGCACAAGCCCCGGGGCGGGTGGACAGGGCGAGCCGGTCCCTGGGGGCATCTAGTCGCCAAGCAGCACCCCCAGCCCTTGCTGTTGCGGGATGGATGAGCCCTGGGCGACCCTGGCGGCAGCGCAAGCCCTGGCCAGGCAGGCAGCACCAGGCAGAAGAGCATCAGAGCTGCCCTGTCCTGGGTCAGACCTGGGTCCCACCTGCCCAGTGTCACGTGGTGGCAGACAGCAGAGGCTGGACGAGAGAGGGACTGGGTCCGAGCAGGGTTTCCCCTTCTTCTCTCCCTTGCAGCCTTTAAAGATCAGGCAGGTCTGACACAGAGGCCGTGCCCCGCGCTCCCTGCTCAACAGTGACCGATGCTCCTTTCCTCCAAGCAGGTGTCCAACCCCTTGTGAACCCGGCCGAGCTCTCGGCTCCCACCGCATCCAGGGACCACGAGCTCCCCCTTTAATCCCAAACCAGGGGAAACGTCCTGGTGCTCGTTTCAGAACTGCCCGCCCGCTCGTGTCACGCGGAGCCCCCAGTTCTCGTCTGGCGAGAGGCAGTCAGTGATAAACCCGTCGACTTTCTCTTCGCCCGTCAATGAGACGCTAGGAGAGAATTTAGAAGGGCCAGGGCCACGGGGGCAGCTCCGGGGCTTCCTCAAAGCCCCGCAACAAACCCAGCACGTGCACCCACCCCAGAGCAGGGAGAGCCCAGCTGTGCCACACTCACCTGCGCCACCGCTTGGGTGGGGGGGACGAGGACCGGGAGCGGGACCGCGAGGAGGAAGAGGAGGAGGAAGAGGAGGAGGAGGAAGAAGAAGAGGACGCCTCGCTGCCCCCGTTGGAGCTGGCGCTGAAGGAGCGGCTGGCTTGGCGCCGCCAGGTGCCGTCTGGGGGGCTGCCCGAGTCCCGGCGCACACGGTAGCAGCGTAGGGCCCTCTTGGCACCCGAGCGCGGGGGCCGAGCGCTGGGAGTCCGTGTCTCCTTGTCCCGGCAGGGGGACGCGTCCGGAGACAGCAGCACCGAGGCGGGGGGGCTGCCCCTGCCCGGGGTGCTAGTCCGGTGATCCAGTGGCTTGCGGCCGGCCCCAGGGGCACCCAGGGCAGCACTGGCAGCAGGTAGTGAGGGGCCAGGCCGGTCCTGCGTCCGCGGGGCAAGGGAGATGATGGGCTTGATGGTGATGTCCGCGTGATGCTTCACGTTCCAGCGCGATCCCGGCTCGGGCGTGCCGGTGCCGCCCAGGAAGCAGTAGTCGTGGTCTCCAGCACCCACGTGGCTGGAGGCAGGGGGCATGACAGGCGGGGGCTTCCCTCGGGGCTTGCCATGGGGCAGCGGCTGGGCCTCGATGAGCTTGGTTGTCTTCTGGGCACCCTCCAGGGCGGTAGTGCTCAAGGACCGCGGCTTGGCCAGCAGTGACACGGCAGCCAGGGGCTTCCACAGCTGGTGGGGGGGTGTTGCCGGTGGGGTCAGGCCTGTGGGGACAGCGGGGATTAGAGTGGGGCGCAGGCACCCTATGCACTCTCCACCCCCTCCCGCCATGCTTGGGGCCTCCCAACCCACTCAGCCTTTCCCCGACACCCGACACACCCCCCCTGCCCGCTACGGACCTGGTGACTCTGGCCCACCCGCCGCGGGACCCCTTGATCCCAGCCCCGTGGGGCTTCACCTGCCACGTTGGCGAGCTCGGGAGCCTGCAGGCTATCCAGGGGCTTCTTGTCCTGCTGCGGCTCCGCTCTGCTGAAGGGGAAAAGCCGCTATCACATGCAGCTGCCACATGCAGGGTGAGCCGGTCGGGGTCCTGGACCCCGCAGAGCTGGCTGTGGAGGCCTATGGCCTCCGGGTCAGAGCTCCCGAGTCCACGCAGGGAGGGAGCAGACACACACGAAGGGGCCACGCAGGCTCCAATCCTCCCCGACGTCAGCCAAAGGCCCCAGGCGGGGACCCGCTGCGCCTCTAGATCTCACGCTGCTATTAGATGACAGAGACCAGTTCCCCCCTGGCCCCATGTTGGCACGGCTCAGCCCCCAGCACTCACCCCACGCTGCTGGCAGACGGCTTGTCTTTGGGCGCCTCCGCACCCGACGACTCCTTTTTGGCTGGAAAGAGAGAGGAGAAACTTGTCACTAGCCAGGCTCAGGGTGGCTGGGAGGGAGATCCAGCAGCCCGTGGTGCAGCAAGCAGATGCGAGCGCCCATCGAGGTGTCTCCTGCCCAGCACGCACCGCTACCTGGGGACTGGCGCTCCCGCGTGCCATATGGCGTCCCCAGACTGACCCATGGCTCAGGTGGCACCGGCAATTGCTGCGAGCCGGGAAACGAGGGCTGCGGAGGTCTGGGCATGGCAGGGAAGCACCATCCGAGCCAGGACCCCACACCAGCGAGAACCAGCATGAGGCCGGGGTTGCTCCTCGCAGGGCCAGAGGGGAGTGGGGAGGAGGCCGCAGGGTCCTCACCTTCTGTCTTCTCAAACTGCTCCAGCAGGCTGGACAGGTCGGAGGCTTCGATGCCTGAGGAGGAGAGAAAAGTCGTGACTCGGCCCTGGTTTGTGCTCCCAGCACATCACTGCTGCGAGACCTCACAGACGTGGCCCCACAGGCCCACGGCGCAGGACCCCCACACCTCCCGGGCCACGGGCGGCCGGCTCACCGATCTCGCTGATGAAGGCCTGGACAATATCCTCGCAGCCGCTGGGCTGGGCGGGGCGGGCCAGGGGCCGGTGTCTCCAGGGCCGGGCAGCAGGCGGCTTGGCACCCTCTCGCGCCCCCGTTGCTCTCCCGCAGACGGTCTCACGGTCGGCAGGTGGGTGAGGCGCTGGCTGGGCTTGTGCCGGCACGGCTCCTGGCGGGCTCCTGGCTGGCTTTGCCGGGGGACAGGCGGGAGGCAGCTCCCTGGTTGGAGGGGGCTCTTCCATGGGCCCACTTGCAGCAGCCGGCGGGTCTTCCACGGTAGCAGCCGGCAGCTCCTTTGCAGTCTGTGCAGTAGCAGCAGCGGGGGCAGCTGAGGGCCTCTCCGCGGGCCGTGCCTGCCGCCTGGGGTCGGATGCCCTGCTCGCCTTGGCTGGGGGCTGATCGGCGGCTGCGTGCGGAGCTGCAGCAGAAGCCTGGGAGGCTGCAGGCACCTCAGGGGCAGCAGCAACGAACGGCGGCGCGGGCAGCGCAGCAAAGGCCGCCGGCTCCGGACAACTCAGCGCTGGGCTCTGTGGGGCGCTGCCGGGTTCAGCGAACACCAGTGGAGGCCCCAGCGGGGGCAGGGCCACGCCGGGCCAGTATGGGGGCGGCAGGGCCGGGCCCCAGCCCACGGGGGCGTATGGAGCGCCAGGGCCAAAGGGTGGGGGCGGGGGGGCGGCTGGCGGTGGCCAGGCCAGGCCCGGGGGCGGCAGGCCAGGCACCAGGTGGAAGGCATTGGGTGAGGCGGTGGCTGGTGGTGGCAGCAGCGTCGGGGGGAAGCCAGAGGGCGGGGGGCCAAAGCAAGGCCAGGAAGGCACCGGTGGGTAGAGGGCGTAAGGAGTCGCCAGGGCTGACACGACCCCAGTTGGAGCAGCCCCGGTCACTGGTGGCACCACGAAAGGCAGCTGCGGCACGGGGGGCACTGGGGCCACGGTGGTCAGTGCTGGGGTCGGAGGGGCCTTGCTGGCCAGCGGAGAACTGGCAGGTGGGCTGGCAGGTTTCTCGGGGCCCTTTTGCGTGCCGGGCGTCTCCGCAGGCAAGGCCAGGGGCTGCGCCGGTGGTGCCACCAGGCAGGGGATCTCGGCCAGCTCAGTGGGGGGCTCGGGGATGCTGGGCCACTTTCCGGCCGCCTGCTTCTCGGGCTCCTTGCCGGGGCCAGCGCCGGGCGCGCGGTGCTGCATGCGCCGGCGGTACTCGGTCAGGCTCAGGGCCTTGGGCCGGGCTTCCCGTGAGGGGCACGTGGCCGCTTGGCTCTCGGCCTGTGCAGGCTCCACGGGTGTGGGGTGCTGGGCAGCTTCCCCCGCAGCATCCTGCTCGGTGCTGGGGGCAGGCTCCGGGCTGGCGCTGGCCTGGCACGGGGCAGGCTCGCTCTCCTCCCCGCGCTCCACAGCTGCTGCCTCTTGCTCCTTTGGGCTGGGCACGGCCTGCTCTGCTCTGCTCTCCGCCATGGGGCTGTCGACCGCAGGCTCCCGAGGGGGCTCAGGGCAGCTTCTCCTGTTCCGGGAGCCCCGGGGCCTGCCCCGTGGCCGGGGCGGTGCGGGGCTTGGGCGCAGCTCCAGCTGTGCATCCTTCCTGGCCTGCTCCAGCTGCTCCGCCAGGAAGTTGGACACCTGCGCCGAGGGGCGGGTGGCCCGGCTGGGGGGCGCCTGCCCCTCAGCTGCCCCCCGCCGCGGGACAGAGGAGGCTGAGCGGAGCCGCGAGGCCATGGAGTCTCCAAGGGGCCGGCCCTGGGTGCTCGGCGCCTCCGCGCTCTTCTTTTTCCGGCTTTTCCGTGCTCGCTCGCGGCCCCGGCCCCATCTGGAGCCCTGGCACTTCCCGCCCGCTGGCGCCTCCGTGCTGGGCTGGGAGTCGCTTTGAAGGTGACGGTCCCTCCCGCCTGCCTCTGGTGGGGCCGCGCCAGCTGCAGCCTCGGGCAGGGTCTCCTTTGGGGTGGCCGCATCTCGTGCTGTAGCTTTGCTCCCCAGAGCAGGGGTGGGCACCTGGTGCTGCTGCGCCCCCACCTCTGCAGGCAATGGCTCCTCCGGGGCAGGGGACTCCAGGGCAGCATGCCCCTCACCCCCGGCAGCGCCCTCCTCCCTGGCTGGGAGTGGGGCGTCGAGGCAGGGGAAGCCTGGGCCGAGCGGGTGGAACACAACAGGGGTCTCCAGGCTCTGGCCGTCGCCACCGGACACGATCCCCAGCATGACGGGGACAGCGAGCAGGTCCTTGTTGGCCGGCTTGGGCGCAGCACCCAGGTCGGTGGCGAAGGCGGGCAGGCAGTAGGGGTGCATGGACTTCACCAGGTCGCACAGGGAGCCGCCTGCGGGGCTGATGATGCAGGGCACGTCCCCCTCCCCCAGCCAGGCCACTTGGGGCTCTGCTCCGGCCTCCGCACTTGCTGGCTCCAGGGGGCAACTCAGGGTTTCCATCTGGAGGTCTCCCACGGCGGTGCTGCCGTCCTGCCTGGGGCTGGGCGCCTCATCGTCCTCCTCCTCCCCATCACTGCGCTGCAGGGCCCGCTGCTCCTGCGCCCAGGGCCGGAGCAGCTGCCACTGCCCCCGCCGCGCCTGGCTCGGGGGCCTCTTGGGCGTCACCACAGCATCTTCCTGGCAGCTCAGAGCACGGTCCCAGCTCACGTCTGTCTCAGCCTGGTGTGGAGAGGGAGGCACGGCAGAGTTACGGCTCCGATGGCCGCTCCCCAGAGCAAGGGAAGCCACAGCTTGGCACAGGCTCGTGGGCAGAGCACTGGTGGCAGCTCCCAGGGGACTCCCCTTCAACGACCCGTGCCAGACCCAGAGCGCCCCAGCCCCAAACCAGTGCTCTACCTTCCCAGCCACCACGGGTGTGCTGCTGCCGCTCTGAGTCCACGAGCCCCACTGGTCCTCCAGGGCAGGGCCGTCCCGTTCAGGGGAGGCCTGGGACAAGCCGAGGAGCTGGAGCTGCAGGGGAGAAGGGAGGGTGAGAAGCGGGAATGCAGCACTTCCACACGGTCCTCTCACCCCAGGGCCGTGTCCAGTCCACGAAGTCGCCTTGGGGCCTAGCCCGGCCTTACAGGGGTTCTGCCCCAGCCGGCCCAGGGCTGCCGTGTGCCCTCACTCTGCCCCTTGCCGAGCTTCTGAGCCTGAACACCACATGCCTGGACCTCCCTATCCCCAGACCCCAGGCAGCTCCCCTGTGCAACCACCAGGGGGCGCTGCGCTGCATGCCACGCGTGTGATATGACACGCGTGCCCACAGCATGTAGGACTCTGGGCGGTGCTGGCACACGGGCACCCCGTCTCGGGGTTCTCCTGCCCAACGGGCCCCAGGGGAAGGCGGCGCCGTGGCCAGCCCAGAACGCCAGGAGCTGAGCAGACCCTCAATTACACGTGTCACATGCGTGCGGTTTCGTGGCTGATGCTGGTTAAGGGCAGAAAAGGGTCCATCCGAGGCGTGTCCAGGGCAGGGGAGGGTCAGTCAGGGGCAGGGAAACATGTCTGAGGTGTGTCCGCGTGTGCCCGAGCCGTACCGCGCAGCTCTCCTGCTCCCGGGGCGACGCCAGCAGCTCGGTGTCCACGATAGTGTCGAAGGGAGACAGGGTTGCCTCATCCGTGCCATCCAGGATCTCCGTGATGGCCGTCAGCAACGACAGCTCGTTGTGCAGCTCCAAGGGGCCTTTGTTCTGGCGAGAAAGCCCCGGGGAGGGGGAGCGGGGTCAGGGGGCCGTGTGCTGCCCGGCGTGGGGCGGACGAGGGCAGCCCCGGTCAACAGCAGCTCTCCCAGTCCCGGGGAGCAGCAGGATCAGCCCCCAGCGCCTGCCGGGAGACGGCCCCTGCAGCCTGGAAGGAACCCGGGAGCCAGACGCCCCGTCCCGTGCTCCAGCCGTCCCCACTCAACGACAGCCGCAGGTGCGTGGGGCTCCCCCGTCCACCTCGCTCCCTGCCCCATGCAGCACCGTGCTAGGCTGTCCCGGCGGGGAGGACTTCACCCTCCCTGCTGCACCGCACTGCAGACCCAGAGCTGGTGGGGGGCCGCCGTGCCCGCACCCGGTGCCCCGTTACCTCGTGGTGGGAGCCGAGGTCCTCGATGATGGACAGGACGGAGGAGTCCCAGTAGCTGTGCATCTCCTCCTCGAGCGAGGACGGCTCGTCCAGCAAGAAGCACTGGGGGGGAGGGGGAGGGGGAGCAGGTGGTGTAGGGGGCACAGACCCGCCTTGCCCGGGTTCATGTGCGCGTGCGTGTGAAGCTGCCGGCGTTGGGACAAGCCCCTCCGGCCACGGGGGCTGCGGGCCTGCAGTGGCTCCCCCCGCCCCCGGCCGACGGAGGTGGGGGGGGCCCCCCCC